TATCAAGAATGAGAACATCCTCATCTCTGAAAGAGTTTCTGGACATTTATGGTTTGATTTCTTTGTATGTATGGATCACTTGGGTTGTTACCGACATCTGGTGAAAATTTCATGTCATTAGCACCTCTAGTAATATATTTACTGAGAAAAATGTTGACGTATTCAATACTTATTTTACCTGCTGTATATTCGTGCTGATATACAAAATATACCATACAACACTCAAAGTATTAGGATATGTATCTGAACATCTAATACATGCTCTCACACACCTTAAAATAAAATGAAATAAATAAAATGATTAAAATAAATGAGATCAAATGTTAGTTTTGTTGGAGTCACCACAGCCTTCAGTATTTAAATAATCTCATATGGTGAACAGAGGGACGGACGGATGGATGGGGGCTAAAGTGATCTTATCAAACTACACAAACGTGTTGAGAAGGTCTCCCTTATGATGCGCACAAAATTTGGTTCAGTTCGCATCATGTACTGTATATGTGATTTACACACAACTGGTCTCTGGAAATGCTAATGTTTACTGGGGTGAATACACAAAGATCACATTTTCATGGAACCGCTGCAGTAATGTGCAAGGTTTCCAAATGGGACATAGTAAACTATTTTACTGTCCCTTTAAAATGATCATATTTTGAGTCTAAACAGCTGATATGCTGTATATTTATATGACTCACTCAGTCATATATGCTGAGTGAGAGTGCTGTAAGATAAGGTGTGTGTTGTGTTTGGCAATTTATTATTATTATTTTTTTTATCTGGCAACCCTGTCGCTCAGGCTCTGATCATGCAGAAGCTACATTATCACAGTTAGGTCCGAACCTGGTGAACAAACTAACGTTGCTTTGGGCCTAGGATGCTTTGTGTTTTTCTCCTACAAGCCGCAAAGGGTGAGTAACGCACAAAAAAAAAAACACTCTGTTTTCTGTAACTTATTATAATTGCTGTTAGTTTTGAAGAGACTTTTGCTGTGTGCCGGTTGTTTGCGCATATATCACATCTCCGCGAGGAGTGCTCCTGAAAATCTCCACTGAGACCAGGATTCAGGAGCCTCTGGCTTCCAATAGGGGACTGTGCAAACGAGTAGGCGTTTCAAAAGGAAAGCATTTTTCAAGGGACACACTTGATAGGACGAGGACAAAAGGGGGTGTTATTCAAGCACACCACTTGACTGGATGATTGTTGCTTAGGTGTTTCTTTATACAGGGTTCCTACAGCTTAAAACAAGTTAAATTTAAGACTTTTTAAGACCTCTTTAATGCCACTTGAAATTTATTTTAAGACCAACTTCACAAAAACAATACAAAAAAATCAAAAAGAAAAGATTAAGATGAGTTGAGATGCATCAGGACAAAACCAAAAATAAAAAATAAAAAACTCAGTGACAATTTTACCCAAATGTTTACTTTACCAAATCAAAATTTTGTTAACTTTAACAAAATAATTCAGTAAATTATTTTTTTAAAACTAAATAAATGTTACCAATTATTTTAAAATTTGAGATGAATTACAATGATCCTATTTAGCTACAATGTGTTTTTAAGACCTATGAAAGATTGATTTAAGACATTTTAAGGCTAATTAAGGCCTTATTTTTAGCTTTTCTACCCTAGCACTTTCATTATTATTTAGTTTCACAAACTTGCTGTTGTTACTGAGGTAATTAAAAAACTTGGGAATAATAACAGCCCGCAGATTATGTTAGCTGCTGGTATATGTTTATATGAAGATACCGCCAATGTCAGACCCAACGTCTTCATTCATTATTTTCACTTGAGCTCCAGGTTACATTTTAACATTATATAWCATTTATCTATATATAATAATAATTTTTGAGACATTTACAAATAGGGAGAACTAAATGTTTAATTTTAATGATACGTTGCAATTTCATTTAAAAAAAAAAAGCAGTTTGGCTGCTAAAATTAATGTGAAAGTTGTTAAAATCAAAAGTGAAAGAAAGAAGAGGAGAGCCAACCTTTTCGAAAAACAGAGTAAATACAACTAGCCAATCAGTGTTTTTAATTGAGAAACACATACGCTTGAAAAATGCTTTCTTTGAGTCTGCAGAGAACCCCTTCTCCAGGTTTCAGAGAGAACGACGGCTGGTGTCGTGTACACGATCGGCCGAACAGCAGCAAAGAACCTGTGGTTTCACCCAAAATCGACATCATGTAAATGGGTCCAACTGTGTGCAAAGTGGGCGGGGCTAAAGTGATATCGTCAAAGTAACTCACTAATGTGTTTASCTGGTTTCCCTAATGATGCACACAAAATGTGGTGCAGATTGATTCACGTATGTGTGATTAAGAGCCAACCGTGTGCAGAGTGGGTGGGGCTGAAGTGATCTCATCACACTGTGTTTAGCAGGTCTCCTTGATGGTGCAGGTCGGATCATATTTGTGACTCAGAGCTAACCATGTGCAAATGGCGAGGCATCAGCATTCGCCACTCGGCCACACCCACACCATCCCGCCACCAGTCAGTGTTGAAAGAAGTGTGCAGCGTGTAAAGTCTGCATGTTCAAAGCTGTAGTTAGTTAGCTGAAATGTGCAAAAAAAAAAGAGATAAATTGGCAGCTTTGATCCTTTCAACACAGATTCAACACAATCTTGGCTTCTTTGGATTTATTGTTTTATGCGTACAGTGTCCAGAGACTACGTTTGTGTGACTTGGCACTATAGAATAGAATAGAATAGAATAGAATAGAATAGAATAGAATAGAATAGAATAGAATAGAATAGAATAGAATAGAATAGAATAGAATAGAATAGAATAGAATAGAATAGAATAGAATAGAATAGAATAGAATAGAATAGAATAGAATAGAATAGAATAGAAGACTTCCAGTGGGGTTTGGACCATGACTCCAAGAGACTTTTGTTTAGGTCATAAGGCATCACACATGTGTAACAAATGTCATTGCAATGGCACTTTGTGCTTGAAAGCAAGTGAGATCGAGTTGTTATCTGTGTTCTGACTCAGTCTGTGGCTGATTAGGTCAAGAAGGTCAGAGATGGAGCTTTCCAAGCCAAAAAAAAAAGGTCACTTACTTTTGTCAGGGGGTGGGGCTTTGATGAGGTCATTTGACCACAGGGCATGATCGGGCATACAACATGGATGACTCCATACCATTTTTGTTATATTTTAGCCTTTCTATATGAAAGTTACAGCTTTCTGAAATTGTAACAGACGAAGGGACAGACCCTCGCCTCGGTGATGGGGGACAATTATTTGAAATGAATAGAGTTTTTTTTTAAATCATGAAATGATAAAGGTTGAATGATATATGATGAAATAGGATTCAGTGAAATGTGATTATAAAAGATACAGTTAAAGTGAGTGAGACTGGAATCAATAAGAATCGTTTCAATTGAAATGAGATAAAATGAAAAATGATTAAATGAAATGAAAGGAAATGAGATYAAATGAAATGGGACTAGAAAAAAATGAAACTCTAGTAGGTGCGGACATCAGACTAGATAARAATAAATTAAATTAGATGAAAGGTGATGAGTTGAGATTAGATAAAATAAGATGGAATTGAATGTGATTAAAATCAAGATGAAAGATGGGATGACAAAATGAGATAAGATAAAATTAAAGAAGATCATTAAAGAAATTATAATAAAYGAGATAAAAATTATAATAAATGAAACTGGTTACATTATATTTCCTGTGAAAATGTGGTATGACTGTTTAATGCTGAAGGATATTTGCTGAAAAGGTTTAATGTTAATGAGAGTTAAATTTAAACAGCTGACTTTTGATAAAGGTAGGACCACGAAAGTGAAAAATCAGTCAAAAGATAGCAAAAAAGGACAAAAAACACTGAAAAGAGTACCTAAATTAGCAAAAAAAAGCTACAARGAGATTAACAGACAGATAAGAAAATTAGATTTTTTTTTTAAATTAGTAAAGGTACTTGCACTTTGCTTTGAAATAGCTAAAAAGGCTGATAGAAAAGCTGCTAAAAAGCTAATAAAATTAGCACAAAGCATCGGAAAGAGCACGCTGGCTAAATAAAGAAATAAGCTCAAATTATTACAAACCAATGAATATGGCTGAAATAAAAGCTCAAAATAGCTGAAATTAGCTAAAAACACAGAAAACAGCTAAAAAATGCAAAAAAGCTCAAATCAACAAAATGGATGCAGATAGAATTTGAAATTATCAAAAAATAAAAAAACTGAATCAGAACAAAAGGTAGTAAGGACTGGTAAACATACTGAAGGGTTTTAGAGAGTTTGAAGACAGTGCATTCATTTTCAATGAGAAAAAAAAGTCCATAAAAGCTAAAAACTCCAAAAGTAATCATTGCTGAAGTACCAAAAGTCATTGTCAGAATGTCCTGAAAGTGTTGAACATTTTGATATATAAATTGTTGGAATGGCACTAATGTACAAAAGAAAAAATGAGCTCATTTTGCTGCAGAAAAAAAAACTTTATAAAAACACCAACGCCCGTTTGGTGGCAAACGTTCTCCGCAGACAACCTGCTGCTTCCTAACACTCAACATCTGCCCTAGAGATCTGGAGGCTAACGCCCTCAGAGGACTCACCACCCCAACGCCATCTGTCTGACAGACTACAGGAGAAGGAAGTAGGTCATCATCGACCACGACACATTCAGAGTGACTTTCTGTAGCAACTAATCTCACACATATGTGCAATCAAAGATTGCAACTCARTTTTTAAACCTGGAATTGTATTTTTTTTTTGGTTTTAAATTATTAAAAATGTAAACAAAACCAACAGCTGAACACGTCACGACAAAACACGAAACATTTAACTCGTTTGCTGTTTATTTTCTTAAAAAGGCCGTGTTGCTTATGATGATGAGCAGACCTTCTTACTGTAAACTACAGTTTGAAATCTATTTTTTTTTTTACCAGAAACCCAGAAGCAGAAATGGCATTCAAAAAGCATTTTTGCCTCCTAGTACAGCTTTAACCAGAAACAAAAGAGGAAATGCAGCTCATTGTTCGGTCTGTGCTGCACAGACAGTTCTCACCTGTTTCTGCAGCTCCTCCAGTTTCTGCTTACGAAGGTTTAAGGCCTTGCTGGGAAAAGCCCAGTAGTAGTTGGACGTACCCACTCTTTCACAGTCCACCATGCTGTCGTCCACCAGGCTTTGGAGGACGTCCTTCACGCTCATGGGAGCTGAAAGAAAGCGACCCTCAGATTATTAGATTGCGTCCCTGAGCCGTYAATTTGGAGATCTGTGATTTAATTTGTGAGCAGGTAATTTACTGAGTCACACTGATCAGTCTTCATGGCTCATTCCAGTTCTTGTTCCGAGCAGCTGATTCTAATTTCTCTCCAGGAAATATAATTAACATTATTACTTTTTTCTTGTTGACTTATAAATTTGTTATCAAAATGTAATTATTAAGTGATTATTAATTAAATGTTTACATATAGGTGGGAATCTTTAAGCACCTCACTCAGAGAGTTGCAAAGTGATTATATAGGATCATTGATGCATTTTAATTAACTTAAAAAGGTAAATAACTGTGGCTTATTTTACAAAAATAAACACCGATTTGTATATTTTCATGCTTAATAAATACCTGTTGCTGCTGACCAATGATTAGCATAAATGCTAACCTTACATTGAAAATAAACYATAGAAAAGCTAACATTAGGCTGATTAGCATCATGTTCATCATTGGAAGTTTAGATCCAAATCAAATGTTTCAAAGTTGTTACTAAAGACATCAAATGCTATTTACAGACATATATTCTTTGGGGCTCAAAAAAAAAGGGGGATGTGAAAAAACATGGCCTTTCCTGCAACATGTTTCAAAAACTACGGTAACCCTACTGGGACAAACGGCTGACTCTTCAAGAGGCAGTACAGATTTAACTTGAACTAAATCACTTGGAAACGTTTGAAAATCAATACAGAATCTAGATGTCATCTCCAACCACTTGTTCATTGTAAATACACGTTCTCTCTCCAAAGAAAAAAAGAAAAATCAAGTTACAGTTTTCTATCCCTATCACTTCAAATTTACAAACATCCTTCAGACCATAGTTCAGACCACAAAAATAGTTTTTTTTACTTGAAATTGGCCGATCAACTGTGAGCTAAAAATCAGTCCCTAAAAAAGGAGAACATATCTGCATGTATATAATGAATGTCCTGACATCAACTATCTCACTGCACTTTACTGAGGATCATCATCAGCTCTCACCGTTACTGTAGGCAGCGCATAGATTTAGAAACCCTCTGAACTAAACCCACACATGTGCAGTCAATTCCACTCTTTAAAACCAATGAGTTCGCTGCACGAAGAGGATGTACAAGAAAAAAAAAGAGAGAGCAGAAGTCAGATTTTGAGCAGCATCAGCGGTGAAACGCGATCCTCCCACGCACTTTGTTCAGCCCGTCCACTGTGAAACTGAAAAAGCTAATCTGCTCAGAGGATGAACAGCAGTAGTCAGAAAATAAAAAAAATAAAAAAAACAGGATGAAAATGAAAACCACTGAATGGATTGTTAAAACTCTGTTCAAGCTCCTTTATTCATGTTTAATTTTTACCTGCTTAACATCACAAAGCTTTGTAATATTTATCACTGTTTTGTTGTTTGCACCCYCTCTTCAGTAACTACATTAAGCCTCAGTGGGGGCGTCTGAGCCATGTGCTTTTAATCACAGCAACAAGATCCAGTTTCTACAGATTAACATTTTGTCCACTTTAAAACAAGAACCCATCATGGATTCACTCAGTTTCATTTAAGGTTGTCCGGCTCAGGTAATAATACCTGTTGTTTCTGGTATTGTTTCCTTTAACCCTCTAAGGTCTGGCTGTTTTTGACAAATTTTGAATTTACCCTTATATTTCCACCTTAAAAACTATTTACCTTGCCTTGTTTGGTATCATTATTTTCAGCACAACCTCAGCTTTATGATTTTAGATTGTTTTTTTTTTTTCATTTTGACAAACTGCATTATCACAGTGAACCAAAGAATACACACACACACAAAAAAATCAGAGTAGGAAAATTTTGGCTATTTTTATCATAAAATTCATAAAAATGTTTAACGACCCATTTTTCTAACCTTTAATGAAAATCTATAGTGTAAATTTCATAAATGTGTACAAATTTAGCAAAAAAGAAATTCTATCCATGTTTTTACAATAATTACCCATAATGCCCGGCTGCATCCAGGTTAAACTGGATAGTCGAAAGCTTTCGACAGCTCTCCGCGTTATGAAATCGCTGCTGCTGATGGGTGGAGTTCTGTTTTTTTTCTGCAGCCTAAATAAGGCCCAGAGATGGAAGCGGCACKTCCTGGTTGCCACAGCTACTCTGTCAGAACATCACCACGTCGGTTTCAAGAAGGTAAAAAGGATGCAGAGGCTTTTTCATGCAAGTCTGAAATTATTCTTTGTAGAAACGTTACGTTGTTCAATAAATTGTTATTGTTTGAAACTATTATTATAGTTAAATGGAGCAGATATTGTAAGATTTTTCTTCTTTCTGCTACCTTTCATTTTGATTTGTTTTTTTTATTGTATGTGAATTTGTTTGTTTTTAAATTAAATGAATAAATGCTGTCAAAAAAAATGAACCAACTAATTATTGACTCACTTATGCCTTTTGCCTTGGGAGCAATCTTCTCAATGTCTTTCAGCTGAAACACATCTTTCTGAAAAAAAGAAAGAGAGAGAAATGTTTGAGTTTGTTTTCAAATCTTAAACAATAAATTACTATCCAACTACATCTGTATTAGAATACGGTGCATTCGGCTACATTTAGTTGCTTTTGAGAAGCTGATGGGACAAATATTTATCATTGTTAAAATCACACTTTTACTTTTCTCTGCACAACTCTGCTTAATAAATCTTTCACAATTTATGTTTATATAATAATTTTTTGCATGTCTAGCAAAGACATTTCAGATCTAACACAAGAGTGTTTTAATATTAAAAAGAGAAAATATTAAAATCTATTAGAAAATACCTTAAAATATGCACATTAGAGCAGCATTCAAATCCAAATTAGAGTGTTCAGATTAAATTAAAACATGCATAAAAAAAATCAACCTTCTTGGAGAAAAACTGAATGTTTTAACAACTTGTCATGTGATTGTAATCCTCAGCTGTGCGATGTTTGTAAAAGTGCTGATCAGAAAACTGAACCGTTGTTAAAGATTTCTGAGGAGCTCAAAGCCACAGCCTCATGATTACAAGACTGTGGCTCCAACCATTGAGCTACAGCTTCACCTCTCAACAAATTACACACTTCACAAAAACAGTTTAATGATGACGACACGCTGGATTTAAATTGACCAGGTTATAACAAATAATATTTTTTCATGCAACAGAACGATCGATCAATTCACCAAGAAGATATGAAGGCTGAGAAGTATCACACAGCATATCACCAATGTTAAAACTTACAGATTCAAAGAAAATCTCCATCATACGTGTTCTCTTCTCTTCCAAACTCAGTCCTTTCTTCTTTGACTGAAATGAAAAATCTTAAATCACAATAAAATCACAAAACACCAAAATACAAAACATGTCTGTTGGAATAAGTGATTAAATCAATTGTTTGTCCACAGATCAAACTCTGACACATGAAGATTTATGACCCCACTTGAAAGCATCAAAAGTGAATATCAAGGTGTGTGTGTGTGTGTGTGTGTGTGTGTGTGTGAGCGAGCGAGCGAGCGAGCTGTAGCAGCACAGAACAGCAGCCTAAAGAAATGTTTGGACATGGTTGATTTTAACAAAACTATACCGTGGGGACAAAAGGGGAAAGGAAAAAGCATGGATACAGAGAAGTGGGAAAAAGGAATGAGGACACTGCAAAGGGACTTAGTGGTAGCTTAGAGTTGGAAGAGAAATACATTTATATTAATTAAAAAATTGAATTCTGTGTAACAAATAGTTCAGAAAAACATGAGGCTACAAAGCAACATGAAATACATATGGCAGTTGTCAGTAATTAAATTATTGTTTAAAAGAATTAGGGCCACAGAACAAAAAAATATTTTTTTTCTGACTTTGATCTTCTGAGATCAAAGTCTTAATTAAAGAATTCTACTGGTAGAATTCCAGTTTTCAATAGGTACCATTCTGAGGAAAAAAGCCAGAACTCAAGAAAAAACGATTGGTTGATTGATTGATGTGTGGCCCTAATCCTCGTCTGTAAACAAGTAAATATCTAATTGGGCAAAAAATAATCAAATCAAATCAAATCAAATCCATCCATCCATCCATCCATCCATCCATCCATCATCTACAGAGTAAACGCACCGGAAGTTAATTTTGTCCAGCAGGGGGCAGTAATGTAAAGTCACAGCACGTAGGCTGCAGTAAAATCTCAAGAAGTTGAAACCTGACAAGAAATGCTCAATTTAACCAGAAACTAGTTCACCAATAAAGCTATCATCTTACCAATAAGTCCATGTTAATACTAATGATCCGTAAACTGACTGAATAAGAAGTCAACATGAAATGGACAATTCATGTAAATATTGGGTTGGAAGAACCGTACAGAAAGCGCATTTTTACTGAACTTTGAACACAATACTGCTTTCCACAATGACTTGTGTTAGATTATATAGTTAAGTATATAGAATATAAATCATTGGCCTCCCACGCACTTTACTTGTAGAGGGAGACGAGTGTTTTTTCCACAGACTGCAGTAACTTCGTAGCTTTCTGTCTCGATTACATCTGGTTTCGCGTGAGAAATGTTACATTTGAGGCACTTGCTTCTTTCAGATTAATGTAATGTCTTTATTTTTTTTTTCTTAGCCAACTAAACAAAAGCGAGTGTACATTTATCAGCAGATACCCGATTGTCATACCGTCTACAAGTGGACGTTTGCTTACCATTATGTGATGTTGACTGTATAAATAACATCCACTAGCATTAACGATTAAGGTAATTTAAGGTTACAGGTTGAAACCAAATACACTGCAGGCCAAACAAAACAGTCGTTCGGTAAATCCTGAATTTCCCGCGGAGCAGTCGCGCAAATCAGTGCTGCCTTCAAACAACCTCGTAAATACTTCGACTTCTGGAAAATTACTTTAAAGTTAAACTATTAAGTTGATAAGCACAGCTTAAAAAACACAAAAATAAGAAATATACATAATCCTTAAGGAAAAATATTTATAATTTATATTAAGATGAAAACACTGTTTTTGAGTTGCCACTTTTAAGTCTTCATTGTTCCGACTGCGCATGAAGGCATCTGTTTAAGGATTTCACTTCCTGGTTTGACGCCCTCTGCCGTCACACAAACGCTTCATACATTTTATTTCATTTTTATAAATTTACATCTCCACAAAGTCAAACACAATTCACTTTCATCGGCACTTTAATTCCATTTGGCATTACAAATATAAACGAGACAAAATAACTTTACAGGACAGTGTAGAAACCGAATGACCAAATTCAACAGACAAGTAGACAATTGTGTGCTTAATGTGGGAATAAAAGGCTGTTTTTAAGAACATATATTAAGTGGGTTTATTTACAATAAAATGCATATTTCAAGTGTTTGTCTATGCAGTGCATCTATTTTATCAAGGTAAGACAGTCTGTTCTGATCAAATAAATCGATATTAAAAACACATAAAAACACATTGATTACAGCTCAGCAGCTCTAATTCTGGTGGCAAATCTGACCTTTTTTCAGCCCAAATAAACCCTGACCAGTATACATAATTATTTTATATAATTTTAGCCTACATTTGCACATTTATCACAGAGTGTGACATTAAATGTTAGGATTCTTACAAGTCTACAACACACAGGTGCATAATTTAACACTGTTTTGTGTTTAGTGTTTAAGYAACCACAACAAACCAATGAAATGATCAACCTGCTGTTCATGTAAAATGATGGCAAACATTTAGTATTTGCTTTCATTTCTACTTGAACTATGTGTACTGCAATTTTAATAAACCCTGCATTTAAAATTAAAGCCAATGATTTTTTAAAATGCTTATAGCAGCTTTTAAGATGTTTTTTTCATAAAATCAGCATGCAGATGTCTAATCATGCTACCTACAGTGCAGTAGATGTTCTTATAGTGAACAGGCAAACTGTGAGGACTCTTAAGGGTATTTTAACAGAAAGCTGTGGTAACAATTCCAAAAATCTGCTACTTGTTAAAAAAAAAGAAATCAACACTCTTTGCTTTTATTAAAAATTCTGCAATTAAAATCAAGATCAGCATTCATTACTGGTTTGCTGCTGTATATCTAACATTATGACACCATTAAAGCTTTGTCCCCACCAAATCGGCACAATTTCGATGGAATGTGAACAAGGTCATGAGTGACTCTTCAAAGCACCAACCAGAACCAGCAGCAGGCTCCTGTCATCCCATTTCATTCACACTCAAATGTGTCCTGGTTCCTCAGCATCGAGAGTCAAACACGAGGTGAGAAATCACGCAGATGGCACGACGACAGAAATGGAAGGGTGAAAAAAAAGGGGAGTAAGTGCAAAATCTTCCGGTCTCTCCAGACCAAACGGAGTGACAGTATATTCATTCTTACACACGAGAAATGTTGGGCTACTGCAGATAGCGGTAGACTTTGAAGCAGTGGTTGCCCGAATCGGCAACCGCGACGTGTCCGTCTGAGGTGAGCGCCAGTCCCTGAGGGCCATAGAGCGGGTCTGCTGAGGTGTTGATGTATGAAAGGAAAGAACCGCTGCCATCAAACACCTGAGAGACAAGGAAAGAGAAGAGCATCAGAAAAATGTGTCCTACTGGCTCCCAGCTTTTTATTTTCTGCTCTCTACCTGAACATCTGAATGAATAAATAAAACAGCTGGTCACATGAACTGAGGAGGACAGGACTGCAAGTTTAATCTCCAGTGTATGATATCTTTTCTGCAATATACATTTTATTTACAAGGTATTCACAAAGTATGATAATATCTGGACACATGATACTTAAGTTTGATTTCAAGGGACTGTTCAGAGTTTTTTAAAGTGAGGTTTTGTGGAAAGGCTATGAACAAAAATATCTGTTGTAGATGGCTCTGTGATCAACTCAAGTTTGTAGAAAGAGTTTAATTCTGATAAATTGATGAACTAACTGCTACTAGGAGAGGTTCACTGAGATGTAGGTCCCCAAGACCTTAAAAGTGTTGTTGCCATTGATGTAATGTAATGCAGAGTAGTCTATGACCATTTCCTTGGTTTTTAAGGTGTTGAGTGACAGGTTGTTCCTGGCACACCATGCCGCCAACTGCTGCACCTCGTCCCTGTGTGCCGACCCGTTTCCACCAGTAAAAAGTCTTTAGTTTTAAACCCGCCCAGAATCGCCCTTGGCTCCTCGAGTCGTCAAGACTAAACTTTGTTTCTTCAGTTCAGACAGCGGAGGTAAAGTGTGTTGACTTGTTCACCAACCTGTATCCTGCTGTTGCCCCAGTCGGCTACAATGATGTTCCCGTTAACATCCACCGCTACTCCTGTGGGGGCGTTGAACTGACCGTTTCCTTCACCGTTTGAACCAAACTTCAGCAGGAATTCTCCTTCTGTGTTGAACACCTGCGTGTGGTTTTTAAACACATGCAACAGAGGAAACAGTCTTAATTGAATAGAGCATCACAGGATTTCTCTCTTTTTAAACGTCTGAATATGGTGACATTTTGAGGCAAAGTTGCAGCTGACAGCAAACTAGAAACTCTTTTTACTTAAATATGTATGAGAAACAGCATCGTGTGCTGAAAATGTCCCGTCTAGAGATGATTTTTGTCCTAAAACCTGTTGTGCAAACATTTAATTAAATGGCCTAATCTAAAAGCAGAAAATTCTCTCTTTAATGGAAGCTTACAGCAAGTTAAAACATGTTACATATTAGAACACTGGGGTTTGTGCCTGTACAGAGTAAAAATGTTGAATAAGTAATAAAGCTGCTCTGAACGGCACTCACCTTGACTGAGTGGTTGTGGAAATCTGTTATAATGATTTCATTGTTGCTGTTGACAGCAGCAAAGTGAGGACCTGGACCAAAAAACAAGCAAAATTATATATATAACTCAGCAAATTTGATTATCTTATCTGCCTCCCCCCCCCCCCCCCCCCCCCCCCCCCCCCCCCCCCCCCCCCACACACACACACACACACACACACACAAAAAAATCTAAGGTTCCAAGAATCCCGTGTCCCTGCACACAGTATTAAGCTTACCTGCAAACTGCGTGTCACTGTTGCCACGACTCCCAAACTTGGTGACCAGCTTGCCGTTGGGCTGAAAGATGAAGATGCGACAAGCCTTGTTGTCGACGACTATGATGTGTCCGTTCCTGTCCACGGCCACGCCTTTAGGGCCCAGCAGCTTCCCCAAACCGATCTTGTTCTGCAGAAGTTAAGACGTTTGAACACGTCTGTTCTACAGCAGCTTTACGTTCAGCCGACACAAGGTTGAACTCACCTTAAATTTGCCTTCGCTTGAAAAGATACTGATCCACTTGTTGTCATAGTCCGCGATGATGATGTCACCGTTGGGGTGGACAGCGACGCCCGTCGGTCGCTGCATCTGACCAGGAGACCTGCCCCGGACCCCAAAACGACTTCTGAACTGACCATCGTTAGAAAATGTCTGCAGAGTGTGATTTATTTATTTATTTTTAAAAAATACAGTAAAATGGGTTTCATCACTTTATAAATCTATGGTAAATCACAGTTCTCTAAAATTCTCACAGCAGAGGGTTTTGATTTTACCTGAACACATTGATTGTTGCTGTCTGCTATCAGCACCTTCCCCAGGGTGGAGGCAGCGACGCCCTGAAGATTTGTGAACTCTCCTTTGTTTCTTCCTTTAGTACCTTTAAGACAAGAATGTTGATTAGAGTTTGAAATCAAAAGTATGTTTTGGTGAGAAGAAAGAGATTTAGTCATTTTAGTCCAGCCTTATAAAAGATATGAATAATTACATTTAAGAAGTTTGCACTCCATTTCCCATAACAATGACTGAGGTTTTGCCATTTTTATGCTGCCCAAGATCAGCCAACTGAGGTAGCCATCTTGAATTAATTTGAATCCAAAATTAAGAAAAATAAAACAGAGGAAGTGGTTCTCCTCACCGACTCTGAAGATGAGATCGTCCTCAATGGGGTTTTCTTTCCGTCTCCCTGTGCTGTACATGCTCGCCGGTCTCTTGAAGGCTTTCTGCTTGATGTGCCCACTGCCCGGAGACTTCAGCCTCTTCTTTGTGCCGTCTGAAGTTGGGGATACGTCCGTGGATTTGGCGGCCTTTATTTTGAAGGGACTCCCTTTGATGTGTTGGTTATACAAAAGGAGGGATAAATTAAAAGTGCCCTCTTTAGGAACCGAGAACAGGTACTCGTAGGTGCCATTCTTGTTGTCCAGAATTTCTCCATCTCCTCTGCTGCCATCGGATGAGGAGATCTGAGCAGCGATGACGGCGTTGCCCATTTTGCACAGCTCGCCGTCTTTGTCTTTCGTAGTTACTGTGACAGATGTGGGCACGCCGACCACGCAGTGGCGTAACCCTTCCCCCGAGGCCACAGACTCGGACGCCACAGCGTTCGTGGTTATGACGGCGCCTAAGTTGTGGATGGACTTCTTTAAGCCGTCCGTCTCCACGAGGAAGTCGAGCTGGTCGTTTTCGCCGGGCTGCAGGGGAAGCTCTTGGTTGGCCAACTCGACGAGGCGTCCGCCCATCTGCTTCTTGACCAGCAGCACCTCGGCCTCGGTGCCGTGGCTCAGGGCCTGCTCCGTGAAGTTACAGCTGCTGGTGATGTCCTCCTGACCCTGCATCAGGGAGTCCAGCTGGGCCTGAAGTACCTGCACACGAACACCAGGGGGCAGCAGAGCAACACAGATTAAACTACAGGCTTTAAATCAGAAAACTGGTGAACTGTGTAGGGGATAATTTAACTTAATAATTATAGCCAAACCACTAAATTAGATTTAGCTTTTTAGGTCGTCAAACCCAAGTAACTCCAGTAAATAAAATCAATAAATCCTGGTTCATGTTAGTAAAATATTCCACTTTCTCATGCTGTGAA